TCAGAGTCGGGCGACGACTGTATTCAGTGTCCATTCCATGGCTGGAGGTTTGGCGGAGACGGACAGTGCAAACGCATACCTAATCTCAACGGTATGTCTATAACTATAACTATTACTATTCATTATTTATAAATTAATTAAAATTATTGTATGAATTCATAACGTTTTCCATAGAGTCTGAGTTAAATACAGTGAAAGCTGTGATAAAAAAATGGCAGACAATAGAGAAGAATGAATTGATATATGTTTGGCACCACTCGGAGGATAAGGACCCCAATCATTACCCCCAGGATTTTTTCGGAAACAACTATCACAATATATCACTGAAATGTAGTGACTTTACACTTTTGCATTGTAAATATCAGGTACATTAAGCTCATTAATTTTTTACCTTCTATCTTCAATATAATTTAATTTAAAACAATATATTTTAATTATAAAATAAGTATTATAACAAATTCTTATTGAAATTCTATATTAATAAATTATATTATTGATATTTAATAAATCAAATAATTTTAACAATAATAATTAGCCATTTGTTTTTATTATGATAGGTTATAGCGGAGAATGCGTCTGACTTACAGCACTTTCATTACGTACACCACGAGCTCATACCATACATAGTTAGTTCAACATTTTTATTTGATAGCACGTATGGCACAGAGACAGAGCCTACAATCACCGGTAAAATGACCATCTATTTACTCGGCGTGGAGTTAATCACTTTACCCACTAAACTGTGTCACGTGTCACCAGTGACTGATCTGCTATACATTGGCACAGATGACTCATTGTTGGGCACCATATTAGTTTTGGGTAGTGTTGTTCCATTGCAGCATAGTGAAACGTTGGCCAGAATAACATTATTCTTTAAGTCATCTATTTTCAGCAAGCTATATTTGATAGCATTTAAGTATATGCTGAATGTACAGGTATGTTTTGCACTGCATTAATTAATAAAAACTGTACGATTATTGTTATTAAATTTTATAATTTATCAATTATATTAATCTACACCTTTATGTATAAAAAAGAATGTTTGCATCAGGTTATTAGTGAGTAGTGAGGGTCAGATTAAAGCAAATATAATAAAATTGTAAATTAATACGGATAATTTTAATTTTATTCATTGCGTTTATAGCTTGATTCGGATGCTATGATCTTGATAAATTCTCAGTCACCTCAGCGCCCGATATTGACCCGCAATGACGAGGCAATTGTCAGGTATCGACGCTTTTGTCAAAAGTTTTACACTAAATAAGTTCGGGTTTTGTACTAAACTTAAACTAATTCTTATATAATTTTTATTGATATATTTATTCTATTTTATTTCGAAAATTGTTATTATCTATATCATATTAAATCTAGTATAATAAATATTTATCTTTTTGTTATATTCTTGGTATATTAAACATGTAAATTATTTCTATATATTAAATATTTTGTTAAAAATTCAATGAAATACTTTATAAAACTCTTAGAGTGTTGTCATATATCCCGGACACACTGTTTATATCGGTTTAATGTAAAGACGAAACGTCATGGTAAAAAGTTGGCCAGATCAATATTATTTTACAAGTTATCCATTTTGGGCAAGTTATATTGGAAAGCTTTTGAATATATACTGAATATACAGGTGAGCTTATTGATAAATGTCTAAGGTAATCATTATCAATTTTTTATCCACAAATCAGCTATGACAAATATTGTTCGGCTCAATACCCTAACCGACAACTGTCGACCGCATTTGGCCAACCGATGGTCGACAACTAGCGTTGCCAGATGTACAGGAATGGCCTGTATTATACAGAAATTAATGAATTTTGCAGAGTACAGGAAAGTGTCATTCCTGTACATTGAAAAATACAGGAATAAATATTTAAAAAATAAACTGTAAAACCATTAAAATATTTACATTTGCTTATATAAAAAGTCTTGTAAACCCAATGTGCACCCAAAGTCTGGGTTAATGCTATAAATTGAATGAATTTAAACCTAATTTATTAATTTTTAAATATATTGTAAAAGAATTCAAATTATCGCAAAAGATAATTTTTCAAAACTGTATAAATTTTAAGTAAATTTAGTTTTAAAAAATAAAATACAGGAAAATACAGGAATTTTAGGTACATTTTCATTTTTATACTGGAAATCCAAAATATTTTCTGGCAACGCTATCGACAACAATGATATCACAAGCTTTCAACAGTTTTGCTATAAGACTCGTTCAACCAAACAGTTGTATGCAATCAACTATTGGGATGTCATGGCGTTCACAATCGACGACCTTCTCGATGGCCAAGTTGTCACTCACGGCTCGGATCGACACATCATATGGTATTTTATTCATACGCCAGTTATGACCAAAAGAGTATGGATTAGTAAATGACTATTAATTACTATTCACTCGAGTGTATAGCGAGTGGCAGAAGAAGTATCTGTTGGGCGAAAGTGACGGCACAACTGGTTTTGACAAAATGCTAGTGCGAGTCGTCCGACTCGTTAGAGAAATGCTGACCGACGAGCAGTTCGTACGACACGTGATGTTAACCGTGAAATGGTTTGGCACTTATCTCATCACAAATCACACCAAATATAATGATTCGCTTCTCACGTATGAAGAGTTTTGGCACATGAGGTATGTTAGCAGTGAAAAAAAGCAGGCTTTGGGGAAATTTGGTCCTAAAATTGTCAAAATTTAAAATTTATTTCAAATTTCTCAAAAATTAAATTGAGCTCAGAATTTAAATTTAGGGACATATATTTTATCACATAGGGGTACCCGCCGGTAAAATAAAAATTTAAAATTTTTAAAAACTATTCAAGTAATTTGAAATTTTGCTCGATTTTCTTGAATTTCTAGTAAATTATCAAATTTAGATTCTTGATATTTTCAAATCACTATATCTCCTAAACTATAAGAGATATTTATAAAATTTTTTCACTCTTGAGTTTAGAATTTTTGAGAAAATATTGTCTTCATATATCAAGAATCTAACTTTGATAATTTTTTAGTTATTTAAGAAAATTGTGCAAAATTTCAAATAATTCAAAAAGTTTTACAAAATTTTTAAATTCTATTTCACCGGCGAGTACCCCTATGTCACACAATATTTATCTGTAAATTTTAGTTCCGAGCTTTGTCTTATTTCTGTTCAAATCTAATATAGTTTTTAAATTTTGACAATTTTAGGACCAAATTTCCCCAAAGCCTGCTTTTTCACTACTTATGTTAACCCAGCATGTGTCGTATTTCTCTCCACTCTCCCCCTCTCTATCTCTCCCTCTGCCCTCTCTCTCTCTCCCTCTCTCTCGGTGTGTGTGTGTGAGAGAGAGAGAGAGAAAGAATCTTGTATAATAAGGTATGCCTAAAGTGTATATTAAAACTTTAAGCGTTGAATATTCAGCACATTGGTTATTTTAAATATTGTTATTTACAGTCAGAACTCTGTGTGAATAAAACGGAACCAGGTTTTTGGTTCATAACATAGAGGTGTTCATAAGATAGGAGTGGATTTAAATCTTTAAAAATTCACAAATCAATTAAATATTACGTATAATTTATCGTTTAAAGAAATATTCAGGTATTTTAGAATATTCTCGTGATCACTAAGCCTTCTGCACTCATTGACCCTCAACTGTCCTCAAACTAATCCGTTTACCAGGAATTCCGGCACCAGTTCTCTCACCAAAGCATACCATAACCCCATTCCTATACAGTAATCACTTTTACAGCATTCAAGCCCACAGCAACAGCAGCCAACCAATCACAGCCAACCCCACCCAATCACAGGACCGGATGGAAAGACATAAAAAACAGACCACAAGCACTCAACTATACATCAGTTAGTGTTCAGACACCACATCAGACACATCAAAGTCCTCACAAAGACTTACAACCAATTCAATCCATTGTTAACCATTTTTCATATGTATTGTTTAATAGAATAAAATCTAGTTAGATTTGTTAACCACAGTGTTCTTCATTATCGTCACTATCATCATCAAAGCAGTTCCCGCAGAGCTCCGCCCAACTGATCCACACACGAGACTACGAGTAAAGTAGTATAAGTTGGTAGCCGCTAATCATATAAGCGATTACCAGCAACACAACCCTCGGTTCACACAACACTATTTGTCCGTAACTGTTAACCATCGGTTCCCATTCTCACACCGAACGGCCGAACTGATAGTATCGCCACCGCTTGGCAGCGATACAACACTAACGGTTACGACAATATAAATACTTTTATCGTATTTATTACATGTGCCCTAACATGTTTAAACATAATAGAGTAGAAGATTTGATAAAGTTTATTTAATTAATTTAATTAATATCATTTAGTAATTTTTTAAAATCAAAATTAATAATTGCGCTCAAATGATGACGTAATGCTATGTAAGTGACAATCAATACTTTGTTATTAATCAAAAACATTATTAAAGATATTGACTACTATTTTAAATAAGATTATTTTTATAATTGTTAAGTTTGAAATAATTTACCCATTATTATACTTAAAATAACCAAAATTATTAAAAATATTATCCCCTTGTTATTCATTTCCCTGATTCACTTTTTATTTTCCGAAGTGTTCTTATAAATTCCGTCCCGCAAACATGGGAATTTTAGGCGTTTTCAAATTATAAATAACATTACATCCAATATATAACAATCTGTTATATAAAATAAATTCAAAACATATGTTTCAAATAACGAACATATTTACTAAAATTTAATCATATAATTGTTGCAAAAATGTACGAATATATGATTGTCATAATTGTGTGCTATATTCTATACAAGTTATTTTACGAAAAAACATATATAAAACGATTCAAGGTAAGTTTTCTTAAGAGAGAGAGAGAGAGAGAGAGAGAGAGAGAGAGAGAGAGAATAAACAATCTGTGTTATTTAAAATGTATAGATCATATCGTATCTGGCACTGTTCATAATGGGACGTACTTAATGTCTCACCTCGATCATTTTAAGCATATTAACCATTATAACTAGTACCCTTTTTGCCCTCGATTTGCCCTACGCTACGATGAGGTATAGATCTTAAATTTAAAAATACTTTTATCCATCCGATGTAGCCAGTATTTGCACATAATGGTAATGCTAATACTGAAACCCCTCAATACCCCAACACATGGATTGTGATCATGACGTCAAGAGATCTGCCCCTCAATGGTGTGAAACCCTTTGAAATGTGTGGCAAACAATGTGTGGCATTCAGGGGTGGATCGGGTGCTGTCCACGTGTTGTCCGCCTATTGTCCACATTTGGGCGCAAATCTCGGTGTCGGCGGACATGTGGTGACTGAGTCAGAGTCGGGCGACGACTGTATTCAGTGTCCATTCCATGGCTGGAGGTTTGGCGGAGACGGACAGTGCAAACGCATACCTAATATCAACGGTATGTCTATAACTATTACTATAAATTGTTTATAAATTAATAAAGTTTTCATAGAGTCTGAGTTAAATACAGTGAAAGCTGTGGTAAAGAAATGGCAGACAATAGAGAAGAATGAAGTGATATATGTTTGGCACCACTCGGAGGATAAGGACCCCAATCACTACCCCAAGGATTTTCTCGGAAAAAACTATCACAATCTAGCAGTAAAAGGGAGTGTTCAAAGACTTTTGCATTGTAATTATCAGGTACATTAAGGTGTCATTTATTTGTCATTTTCCATGTTTAATATAATTTAAATTAATTTACAACATTATAGTTTAATTATAAAATAAAATATCAATACAGTCGGAACTCTGTGTTGTGAATAGATTGGGTCCAAGGCTTTTGGTTCATAACAAAGACATATTCACAACATAGAGATTATTTTAACATTAAGTCTATTTTGGTTTATAACATAGAGTAGTTCACAACATAGAAGGTTTACAGCACAGAAGTTTCACTGTAATTATTTTAAACAAATTCGTATTAAAATACAGTACGTCCCCGAATTTGGCACACGCGATTTTAGCAAAATTCGATTTTAGCATAAGGTTTTGTTAGCACCGGCGAGTCATATTAGCACTGCTAATAAACCCAATTTTAGCAGAACTCAATTTTGGCACATCTTTTTCACTGCACCAATGACATGCCAAATTCGGGGACGGACTGTATTATATTAATAAATGATATTATTGGTAATTAATAAATCAAATAATTATAACAATAATAATAATTTGTTTTTATGATGTTAGATTGTACTGGAGAATGCGTCTGACTTACACCACTTTCATTACGTGCACCAGGTGATCATACCGTACATAGGTTTAACATTTTCATTTGATAGCACGTATGGCACAGAGACGGAGCCGAATACCACCGGTAGAATGACCATCAATGTTCTCGGCGTGGAGTTGGTCACTGTACCCTTTAAAGCGGATCACGTGTCACCAGTGATGGAACTGTTTTACATTGGCACAGAAGACTCGATTTCAGGCATCATAACAATATTGACTACAGTTGTTCCATTGAAGCATGGTGAAACGTTAGCTAGAGGAATATTTTTCTTAAAGTCATCTCTTTTCAGCAAGCTATTTATGATAGCATTTAAGTTTATAGGGTATAGACAGGTATATTAAAACTGCATTTGTATATAATAAGATTGTTTTTATTAAATGTTATAATTTATCAATTATATTAATCTACACTTTTATGTTTATATATTTGGTTTATAGTTTGATTCGGATGCTATGATCATGGTGAATTGTCAGACACCTAAGCGCCAGATATTGACCCGCAATGACGAGGCAATTGTCAGGTATCGGCGCTTTTGTCAAAAGTTTTACACCAAATAAATTGGGTTTTGTCTTAATATTTGACTAATTATTTATATTTCTGATATATTTATTTTATTTGTTGTGAAACTTGTTATTATCATAATATATCTAGTTTAATAAATATTTATCTTTTTTGTTATATTCATTGTTATTTGAATCATAAGTAAATTATACTCGAGATATTCATAATTTTATGAAAAACTCAATGAATTATAAAATAATTCGATAAAATTCAATGAAATACCAATATAAAAACTTTATATAAAACTCTTACAATACTTACTTACTATACACGTTTACAAAGTACAACTCGTTAGTGTGTAGTCATATATCCGGTCGGATATTGCGGAAACACTGTATTAAATGTTGTTTAATTTGCTCAATAATAATATTATGTTATATAAAGTTAGCTAATGTATAGAAATTAATTTATTAATTACATTTGACATAAAACAACTAGTTAAATTATAGCATATAATTAATACTTATTCTAATTTAACTGTGTACATTAGTTTCTGTCTCATTTATTTTTATAAAAATATACTATACTAAAATAATATATAATAAAATACAAACAATTGTTAGTAATTAAAAATTATTTAAAATTTGTGAAAAGTCAATATTTAAATTAAGCTATGTAAAAATACATTATAAACAAATCACAATTACGAGATTAGTTTACATTTATATAATGATCATATTGAGGTCCGACAATGTACCTAGTACATATAGACGACCACCATAGATTGCCCCGAACCTCATGCATCACTTCGTGCACATACTCTGTCAGCTCAGGTATGCCGTACTCTACGAGTTGTGAGCCGTAGTTAATACACGCATACCATTGATAGTGCACTTCGGCCACCATCTGGTCGATGGCCTGNATTGTTGTTTCTCCTGAGCCAACAGATCGATGGGAGGCTTAAGAAGTGTTTCTCTGAAAGATTTGGTGTAATTCCTCTGCACTTTCGCCAAATAGAAGAACAGAACGGCTACTAAACCGATGATCAGGAGCTTAAGGATAGGGTGGCGGACATAGGGCTCGGCGTAATTGGACACATAGTCCCACGTAATGAGTGCCATACCGGCCACCAGACCGATGGCGGCGCCCACCCATGGGATCTGGTAGTCGTACGCCCTCTCCTTCTGGAGTGTCACCAATGACTTCTTGATGGCGGCGTTGATCATGTCTTCGTGGCGGTCGAAGTTGTCGGTGCGCTGTGGGCTCAGGAAGTGAAGGGCCAAGTGGTAGGACTTGAGCGCCTCGTCGTGAAGGCCGCAGTCGGCCATCACTTCCGCGCGTCTGAAGTAACCCTTAAACCAATTGGCGTCCAAATCAATGCACTGTTTGGCGTCTTCTATGGCGTAATAGTATTGCTGAAGACGAAGGAAAGCGAGCGACCGATTGGCGTACAGACGCGCCGAAGTCGTGTCCTCTTTGATGGCGTGGGTGTAGTGGAGGAGCGCTTCCGCGTACTTCTTCTCCGCCACACATGCGTTGCCGCGAAGTCTCAGCTCTTCGGCTCTCTTGTGGCTCATTGTCTCAGGCGTTGTCTCTTCGGAGTTATGTCTGGTCTCTGGTCTCTGATGTGCGGATCAATTGCTCTTCACTTCCCTCTTGTGTTTCACTCTTTGTGTTTGTTTTCAATTCAATCCTTACTTTACTTCACTTTTTACTGTTTACTCAATTATTTGTGGATCAAATGCGTTGAATGGTTACGCCATTTGTCTACAAACAGTTAGCATCGACTGTATTGTGTATTGCACTCAATCGGTCCCTTTTAACTGCCATACATGTAATGTAAGGGTAGGTTTGGTGTGTGTAACAGAGTCCGGATTTTGACGGGAGATAGTGTTATGCATCACCCTCATATTTTCAAGAAAATATAACATACATTTACTAGAATTAAAACATACACATGAAACCGGTTTTGAGCAAACAGTATTTTAATGAATTCCTGTATTTTTCAATGTACAGGAATGACACTTTCCTGTACTCTGCAAAATTCATTAATTTCTGTATAATACAGGCCATTCCTGTACATCTGGCAACGCTAGTTGTCGACCATCGGTTGGCCAAAAGCGGTCGACAGTTGTCGGTTAGGGTATTGAGCCGAACAATATTTGTCATAGCTGATTTGTGGATAAAAAATTGATAATGATTACCTTAGACATTTATCAATAAGCTCACCTGTATATTCAGCAGAGTCCGGATTTTGACGGGAGATAGTGTTATGCATCACCCTCATATTTTCAAGAAAATATAACATACATTTACTAGAATTAAAACATACACATGAAACCGGTTTTGAGCAAACAGTATTTTAATGCAAAACACTAGGATTAACTTTAGGTCACATTATTTATATCAGATGTTAAGATTGGACAAGTCTTGATCAATTTTTAAAAATTAAATATAGTGTTTATTTTAATTAAAGTGTAAATCACTTGCTTTTATATAAAAAGATATTCTTATCTTAACATCTGATATAACGGATGTGACCTAGAGTTAATCCTAGTGTTTTACATTAAAATACTGTTTGCTCAAAACCGGTTTTATGTGTATGTTTTAATTCTAGTAAATGTATGTTATATTTTCTTGAAAATATGAGGGTGATGCATAACACTATCTCCCGTCAAAATCCGGACTCTGACATTAAAATACTGTTTGCTCAAAACCGGTTTTATGTGTATGTTTTAATTCTAGTAAATGTATGTTATATTTTCTTGAAAATATGAGGGTGATGCATAACACTATCTCCCGTCAAAATCCGGACTCTGGTGTGTAAAGGTATGAATGCAACTTTCATTACGATCATTATTCTGTGGTCATTAGCGTGAAGGTAATTTAAGTAAGTTATATAAATTACCATTAATTACCGTAATTTTAGGGTAAATTTACGTAATTTATAATTGAGGTAATTTAAGTAATTTATAAATGGGGGTATAATAGGTGTTTTCCCCCACATTTTGCAAAATGTTAGGACATTTTTTGCTATCGCCATCTATTGAGTGAGCTTTTTGTGGGTAAATTTACCAGGTAATTATTACTGGTAAATTTACCTGGAAGTAATCTTTAAAAAAAAGGTAATTTTTATTCACGCTAGTGGTCATTGAGATTAGGTTCATTTTGAATGTATGATATTCATGATTCTGTCAAACTGACCATCGTGGTTCTCTATTAACAGTAATATCATGGTTAATTATACGGAAATGTGTATTTTATTTAACAATATACTTTTAATGTAATCGCCTTAATCGATTACGTAAAAGTGTTCAATAAGTTTATTTATTATTTAAATGTATTTCAAATTTTATTAAATAAAATTTTTATTCAAAACTACTTTACAAAAAAATCTGTTAAATCAATAAATTATAATTTTACACAAAAATACCATATATTATGAATCATTAACAGAAAACTAGTTATTTTTGTGAATAAACTCTTTAACGTATAATAAAGTACAGAATATTTTAAAAACATGTAATGAATTGAAACAAAAGGTTATGATAAAAAATAAAAGTTGATGTGAAAAATCTTTTTAATAAAAAATAATTGATTGTTGGCCTCAAAAGGTGTTATAATTTAACATATTTTGTGCACAATTCTCAACACAAATACAAAATTAGTGAACATTTTTATCCTAGAATTACAACTTTTTCTACTGATCTCGAGTTAAATGGTTTTACATGTATTAACTACTAATAGTTAGTTGTTTAAAGAGGTTTACGATAGTATTTTATGGTCGTTTTGTGCACCTATTATTGTACGAGTGATCATAATTGTGCTTTAAGTTTGTGATGTTTATAATTTATTTCCATTGAATTAATATTGCCTATTAAACAAATAATAATTTATTTATTTGAATATTTTTTATTGCGGTAATGATAACAAGAAAAGTAATTAACTTTATTATCATTATATTTATTTATTCGTTTGAACTTATTGTGTGATATAATGTGAGCGAACATTGAAGGTGTCACTAGAGTGTCCAGTTGTTTCATCTGATCCACTCGTAACTGCAATAAATAGTGTAAAACATATATCAATTCTACCTGGTGAGCTCTACTTTATTGCAACATACATGTAGATAAGTTTATGTCCCATCCGAGAGAGAATATAAATAACCATAAATTGTTGACGAGTATATTTGGCGAGTTTAATCTTTATGAGCTTTATATACAAATTAATTGTATTATCAGTTATCAAAGCATTTAACGCATAAACAGACTGCGAAAAAGTTTGGGCAGTAGTTTGTGATACAGAAGCGTTTGCATTAGCGCTGATTTTCCCAGAATTTGTATATCTTATTAGTGTTAAACACATTTGAATTAAGTTCAAAGTTCGTGAACTAAAGGGGTTTTTGGCAAATATGTTTAATCCTAAAGCAATCTCCAACTGATAGCCACTTTGAGACGACTTAATCACAAAAAGTTATAAAACGTAAATAAAAAATTTAATGTTTTAATAATG